TCGATTTGAGTAATTCATGGAGATCCTTGTACACGATACCAATCAGTATTGAACCTAAGTTGAAATAAACAAGGAAATAAATTACTAAACCTAGTTTGCAAGATAGAGCAAAAAAGTAAGTTTACATAGCTTTCTTGAGGTACGACTGAAGATGAAATGAAAAAATATTTGATGCAAAACCGTTTAGACCATATATAATTTATCTACTTGAGACCTTAACTTGACAGCCGCGAGTTCGCTTATAACAAATTGGTCTCGGCGAATTGTCAGGGTAGCGTGGTAAAACTGCTGGGAAATGGGGTACCTGCAATGCAGAAGAATGCCACCTCAGAGTAAAGAGTTTTCTAGTCGCTCCTCAGTGTAGAAATTAAATCTGAGTAACATGTAATGCCCAGTCTGAGAACGCAAGTTTGTGAACAAGCTGTGATCTTTTGTACTCGGATCAAATGATGACACAAAACACAAAATGTTTTAGCCAATCAAATGTAAACTTTTAACAACAAATGGACGGCATCCCGGCTGATAAATCGTGTTTAAAATTGTATGGCCGTGCTTGCTATTAACTTACCATCTTATTCCAGGAACGGCATGCTAATTTTACTGAAAGATTCAAAATTTAATCAAAATTGCAATTTAGGTTCTTTGAGATCCTATTACAAAATTTGAGCTGTATAACTACTTCCATCTCGGTAGCCCTGTACCTCCTTTTGCAAAATATGTCTAAACATTTGTTCAAGTTTGCTCCGTGGAATCTTTTTTTTTTTTTAAATCCAATTTGTTTTTACATTTGGTGGCATTTGGCATTATATTATGGAAATTAGGAAAACACTTTCTTTTAATGCTGTTACTTAATATGTAGTGAATGCATCGTTCATAAAGCAGGTTAAACAAACCGTTGTTGTGGAAATTGCTTGAAGGAATGTTGATGAAGTTCTGTTTTACTGGTCCATCGAGATGAAAATCACTCGCATTTTGGCTGAAAACTCGTTGCATGTGCATAACTGTGTGGTAAGAAACAACAAGATGAGAATGATAAAAAGGCAAGACTATTAAAATATCTTCCGTGGACAAATCAGTTCGCATATATATGTCNTGAAAACTCGTTGCATATGCATAACTGTGTGGTAAGAAACAACAAGATGAGAATGATAAAAAGGCAAGACTATTAAAATATCTTCCGTGGACAAATCAGTTCGCATATATATGTCAAATTTCAGCCTCCGACCTTCACATATTTCTACTGTGCATTAACTAAAGAAAAAAATATTTGAAAGCCATTACAATTTGTACGTGTTTCTATAGATGTTTGACGGGCTCATTATTTTAAAATTGTATTGATAATGGTAACTGAACTGAATGCAGTGCAATTCGGTCTTAAATCATGCGCGTGATTCCAAAATCGGACAAGTGCGCAATGTGAGTTCGATTTGAAATGACAAGTATGATTTCAGACCAAAATTGCACGACATGAAGTTGTATTGCCACTTCATTACATGTATTTTGAAATCGCGCAATTTAATCGCCTGAAATAGGATTTTGGTTGGTGGGTAGCGATATTTATTAAACCAGTCAGCACGTTTGTTAAAAAAGCAGAACCGGAAATGCGTTACCATCTCATTTTGTGTGCGAAACAGAAAATAAAACAAGCCTTAAAATATGATTTTGCTTTCCATTCTCGTTGACTGGGAAAACATGTGATTTAGAATAAAAAATGGTGCTATTCGTGGATAAATCGCATTGCTAAAAGCCAATCATGACTGGCAGATTGCTAGGATCACCAGGGATTTCAAAATGGTTGTAATAAAGGTTTGAATATTAGCGTTATCGGAGAAAAACTGTTATAATATAATATTGTTGCATCTTTTTCTTAGATTGGAATAATTTAAATTAAAGTATTTCCACTTACCGAGTTTTTTGTTAGCAATGTTTAACTGAGGCACTGATTCATTGAGATGGTATTGACCATATTTACGGGCAAAATCTTCAAAGGCAAATGCCATTTTAAAGATTTCTTCTTTTCGTTCCTGCTCTGCTATTGAACTCAGTTGCACTTGATGAAGAGATGTGTTTTTAGACTGCTCCATGGTGTTTTCTAATATATTGACAACATCCTAAAAACGAACATGACAAAAATGCTCTGAGTTACATCTACTTAAATATTCGATAAAAATCAATACGAACAAACCGGCATGAAATAAATGGAATATTTGCTTGCGAATGGAATTTTTAATCTTTTCCTTTCCCACTTGGGTTATTTTAGCCTTTTATAGTTATGTTATTACTGTAGGTGGCATGGAACAAAACATGTCACGTGTGGTAGGGATTGGGAAATGTAACTGCGTTATATCCCCTCTTGACAAAGTTTTTGCTTGGTAACCTCTCCTAAGTACGCGTCCGTTTACTCGAATTTCTCAGTGTGTGAGGACGTTTGTATTTGAATTCCCACCTCCTCCCCATGTTGCTTTTCTTTTATGACGATTGGAAACCGTTCCGCTTTTTGGTGGCTCACAAGTTTACTTGTCAATAATATTTGTAACAGATTGTATATTTTTATATAAATTACAAATTGGTTATTTTTAATAAAGCGGCTTTGAGATTACCCTCGGCCATTTTCCTTTCAACCTTGGTGTAAGAGTAAAATTTGTACGCCCAGTAAAGGAGCTCAGTCAATACAGCACTTGTCAATAACTATTATTCGAGAGATCAGAGCCGAGTGGGAAAGACATAAAAGTTCATTCCAATGAATAACTAGGTTATTAAATTAGATTTCAACTGCCGGCGATCATGCTCACGTTCTTAGCATGGTATATCACTGAATTTCCAAAAGAGTGTCTTACAGACGAGCGGTGACTGAACTGACTTTTCCTTAGGGTTAGGCTAGTTTACGATTTGAAGCAAAAAGGTCTCAGAAGTAAATATACATTATGAGTTTAGCAATCTTCGCTACTTTAGTTTATTAAAAAAAGTGACGGATACCTTCAAGGATGACACTTGCAGGACATCGGCTTTTTTCAACGCAGAAAGAAACTCTACAACCTGAAATGAAGATAATTAAACAGGGTTCATCAATATAAATGGGAATAACTATATTTTTGAAACATAAAGTAGAATTGTACCTAGAGAGTTTGGGAGCTGTGAAAAGTAAATAAATCAAGCGGGTTACAACAGTCATTGAATCGAAATTTCCACAATTCTTGTAAGCTGTTTCTCTCCACTTTGAAAGGCGTTCCAAATTAGTAGGTAGTCTACAGTTAAGCTTTATACTAGATGTTTCATTGAGCGAT